TAAAGCTTTACTTAAAGGATAGAGTATAGAGTCAGGAAGACCATAGTAGAGCGAGTTACAATAATCAATTCTAGATAAGACTAAGGAAGTAACAGGAAGGAGAAGAGTAGGATCATCAAGAAAAGGCAAAAGTTTTTTTATTCTACGTAGATGAAAGTAAGAGGTTCTAGCAACACTATTAATCTGAGAAGAGAGAGACATAGTAGAATCAAAGATAAAACCTAGACTACGAAACTTATGAGAGACATCAAGAGTTTTAGAATCAGGTAAGATAATAGGAGGAATAGTAATAGAGTGTTTAGATTTATTAAAACAAATTAATTCAAACTTAGAAGGATTAAGTTTAAGACACATAGAGTCAGACCAAGCGATAATTGAAGCAAGACATAGAGATAAATTATGAAGAACACTATTGAGATTAGATGGAGGAAAGGAAGTATAAATGTAAGAATCATCAGCATATAGTTGACTAGAGAAAGAAAAGTTATTAATAATACGAGGTAGTTCAGAAGTATAGAATATAAATAGAAGAGGGCCAAGGATAGAACCCTGAGGTACCCCGAAAGTAAGAGTAGAGGTTAGAAGGTTAGTATGTGTTAGAAGTAGAATTATTGAGAACAACAGAAGAAAAACGATTACAGAGATAAGAAGAAAACCAAGATAGACAAGAATCAGTAATATTAAAAGAAAGATGCAGCAGTCTCAAGAGAATAGTATGGTCAACAGTATCAAAAGCTGAGGAAAAGTCAAGAGCAAGAAGAAGAGTAAGATTACTATTGTCACTAGAGAGAAGGATATCATTGTGTATTTTAAGTAAAGAAGTTTCAGTACTGTGAGCAGGTCTGAAACCAGATTGAGATACAGGTAGCAAGGAGTTAAAGTCTAAATAGGATGACAGTTGAATAAAAACTACTTTTTCTATTTTTTTAGAGATGAAAATAATATTAGTTACAGGTCTATAATTAGATAAAGAGGTAGGATCTAAGGATGAGTTTTTAAGAATAGGAATAACAATAGAATTCTTATAAGAAGTAGGAAATGTTTGGTCGCAGTTGTTTGGTTGCAGTTGTTTGGTTGCAGTTGTTTGGTTGCAGTTGTTTGGTTGCAGTTGTTTGGTGGCAGTTGTTTGGTTGCAGTTGTTTGGTTGCACTTGTTTGGTTGCACTTGTTTGGTTGCAGTAGTTTGGTTGCAGATGTTGTTCGCGGTATTTTTTACTTTTTTTTAAATGTTTTCAATTGGGGCGGTGCACTTAGGTTTTCAAGCATGAACGAATTTTGTCTGGTTAGAGTGTGAACCAGGATAGGTTTAACGTTTCATTGATTGTCATACAATCAATGAACAAAAGAATATTAGGACTTTATCAATTTATTAAGATGAAATATCATTCAACAATAACAACATAAATATAAAGAGCAAACACATGCTTGAATTCAAGAAGACACATCACCACACAGTTACATACAACAACACCAACAATTGCACACAAACACACAACACCACGCACACAAACACATTGCAGCTTGTTACTTCGATTCTGGGTGAACATGTTGAAGAACCCCGACTTCCTGTTGGACGTTGACAAGCAGCCCTGCGTCGACGCATGCCTCTCCGTCATCACGCAGACCTTCATCGACGGGTGCTCACTCCATCAACAAAAATTAGGAAAGGTTCGTCTCCTTGTTTCTTTGTCCTTTGTTGGTTGGTTGGTTAGCTGGTTGGCTGGCTGTCTGGCTGTCTGGCTGGCTGGCTGGCTGGCTGGCTGGCTGGCTGGTTGGTTGGTTGGTTGGTTGGTTGGTTGGTTGGTTAGTTGGTTGGTTGGTTGGTTGGTTGGTTGGTTGGTTGGTTGGTTGGTTGGTTGGTTGGTTGGTTGGTTGGTTGGTTGGTTGGTTGGTTGGTGGATGGTTGGGTGATGGAAGATTTTGATTTTGAGTGATGTTGAAAAATAATTTCTTTTAGTCGAATTTTCAACTGACATGAAAGTTCATTCTGTATACTTGGATGTTAAAGTTTTTTAGAGGAAGCAATATTGTTTAAAAAAATTTTCGACAAAGAGAACTTTCTGAAGCTATCTTATTTCACTGCTGTAATGACGAAATGTTGATGTGATAATGTTGAAGGCAAGCATAAATAAAGATAAACAAAAATGATGACACTGTGATAGCGTTATAAAATTTTATAAAATGGTGGACATTATTTTGACGAAGGATTCTCCATCAAGCAAGTTGCTGTACGCGAAGGACATTCCACGCTACCGAAAGATGGTTGACGATTACTTCCACCTCATCCAGCACCTGCCGGATATATCTGATGACGACATGTACAACATCCTCTCACAGCACTCGCAGGTCCGTTCTTCCTACAATCAACATCCTCACATACACATGAAATAAGTTTTTGACGTGGCTGTTGTTGTTTTTGTTGTTCACGTGCTGATTGTAATTCACAGTAATTTTTTCTTGTTTTATTTATCACTGATCAAGTTTAATTTACATATTTACAAGAAATTTGAACGTTGAACTTTGCTAATGTGAGGAATTGAATTTTACTAATTAATAAATTAACTATTATAAGTATTAATTTGTATCTTGGGAATGAATTGATGGCGATTAAATTATGATGGTTATGATGGTGATGACGAAAATGATGACGATTAAAAAATTATTTCAGAGTCATTCAACCAGCTGCCAAACAGATGCCGCTCTTCAGCAGCTCTACCAGTACGCACTTCAGTACCGCGTCGAGGTATCATCATCTTTTTTATCACATCATTTTCATCATAACTATTTTTGTCATTCTCCTCATTTTATTGATATCACCATCTTCATCATCGTCAACGTCATCATCTTGATTACAACTTCATTAATAACCACAATATCGTTCACTATCATGCGGCGTCAGTTGTTGGAATCACTGGATGAAGACAGCATCGCTCGCAGGCAGAACCTCGCCAGCCAGTTCGAAACCATACACAACTTCATCAACAAAGATCACTTCTCTTGCTGAAAACAAATTTATTTCATATATTTATTATTCATGGCAAGATTCGAGTTTTTGAAATTTTAACAACTCCTGTTCAATCCTCATTTTCGGACCATCGAATTCTTAATTCTATTTTTCCGATTCATCCATCATATATTTTTTTACATTTACAGCTTAATAAATTGGAACGGTCAATATATTTTTTATAAAATTTACTAATCAAACAACGGTAAATGAACAATGAGGCCCTCCCTGCTTGCATGTCAGTGGCGGGTGCATGTGCGTAAATGTACATAAAAAACGCGTTATTACCTACACATGACATGTTGTACTCTAACTTATGTTAGTACGATCACTCAATTGTGTTCATTGCATTATCATCTTTTTGATAGGACAATGTAAATTACCTCTTTTGCACAGCCACCAATTATTTATATTTTTTATTCCTGATGGTGATGATCGTTAACTTTGAAAATGTCTTCCAATGCTTAAGTTGTCCGCCAAACACACTTAACGATCAGTACAGTCAGATTGACGTAACTTTTGATTTTTGTAAAGTTTGGTTTTTATTTATTTTTAATTAACAATTTATTTACATTAATGTTGAAACTCAGATAATCAGATCACTAATTATATTTTTATGTAGCCGTCCATTTGAACAATCCGTCTTGAAATTATTCTTGCATTGCATTCAATTCACAAAGTCGTCATTCATTTTATTTTTCAGCAGCACATCATCACTTGGCTCCTTCACAATCCATTCAGTTATTTTTGTAATTATTAAAGCTGCTTACAAATTACAAAATCTCACAAAATTGAGGTCATAATAATAAATTTTAATAAAGTTTTTGTTTCAACACCATGCCAACGATATAAGCTGCAATTGAATTTCCTTCCTTCCTTCACTCACTCACTCTTATTTGTTTCTACGGCATTGCGTTTGCTTGATTGAACGCGTTATTACAATCATCATTATTATCACCCATTTATAAACATTGTTTAATGTTGTTATTAGAAACTGCTTGCATTATTTTATTTTCACGGAACATTTGGGAAAGAATGTTTGTAGTAAAACGGTTTGAACGACGTATCAATTTAGTTTTGTTTGCTTCATTCGAAAAATATTTGAGTGCTATAAGATATTCCGATTTATATATAAATTATGCAAAGTCAAAAAACCGAAGGAAGCCTGTGGATCCGCCACTTTGGAACGCTGTGTGCTAGCGTATGAAAATGAATGAATGAATCATCTGGCTGCCTAAAGGGGCTGCCATTTAGAGGTGGGCATGGGAATGGGAAAATGGGGAAAATCATAAAATTTTCATGGAAATGGAAATAATTTATTTTTTGAAATGTTGCAGGGAAACGGAAATGGCTGAATGCACGACGAGAATTGAGAAATTTTTTACTATTAATAAATACAAATATTTTTTCTAGCTGTCATTTTTAGTATTATTATAGGAAACTCTAGAATGATTTTTGGCTCTATTTCATACTTAGCAATACAATATTTAATGTACATAAAATTATTTAACTTTATTTTTTATTGGTTTTATATCAAATTTTAGGCCAAGTTTATACATAGTTGAAAATTTAATGCAGTAAGTGAGAGGTAAACGGGAGAGAATGAAAATACCTCTTCGGGAATGGGAGGGTAGATAACAAAAAAATGAAAAGTTTAGACAGGAAGGATAAGAATGTAAGTGAATTGGAATTGAATGCACCTCCCACCTCAAACATCGGCATACGTCTAGGTAACAGTTTGTGCTGATGTCACTCCGTAGAAAATAGAGCTTAGGACGAAAATATTATAAAAAAATTTATAGGGCCTACGTGCATTCTGTTGCGTTAACTTAGAATAATGTTTGCCAGTTTCACTTTTTTACATATTGGAACCAGCAACCTGGGATTGTTACACAAATCTGCCAAATGTTGCTGTTGGGTGAAACAATTTTACATGTTAATTTATTTCAAGAGATTTTTTAACGTTAAACACTAACAAAATTATCCATTGTGGGTTTTCCGCCCAATGCTTCCCTTCCTTACGCCTTTGCGTAGAGCAAAATATATTCAAACTTGTAAATTCTTCTTCCTCGTCGCTTTAAGATTTGATACACTCAGCCTTAGTCTACGTAAGTTAAGTGGAACCAAAGGATATCTTATAGCAATGAAAAGAATACGATCGGGCAAGCCCAGTGCTAAGTTGTATGTTTATACATTATGACGGGGACACGGGGCGACTATCAATGTCGAGGTAGATTGTACCGACTATGGAATCAACCAAGGAAGGAGTGGCGACGTTGGTGCTTCTAACTTTGTTTGGTATCAGCAGACACCATTAAGAAAAGGCTGAGCCCGGAAGATACAGAAGAAAATTATGAGATATTTATGAATTATAAATACATATAAATACATATAAATTATGAGGACTGCATGCTTTACAACTAGATTCCACCACATCTCAAATAATCATTTTATTTTCCGGCTAGGTATTGGAACAAATTATTAGGTACATATCTTAGCAAATACAACAGTTTATTATAAACAATGCTGGCGGTGATTTCGATAGGCAAATTTTTAGAAATTAATGGTAAGAGTTAAACACAACATCTATAATAGAAATCTTAGTATTTTAAACCTAATGAATGAAATTTCAATCCAATGGTTAAAACATAAAGATTAAAATTTTAAAATTTAATCACTAGAATCTACCGTTCGAATCAATCTTTAAAATATAATTATATTGTCTGATTGTTGGAATCGATAGAATAGATTCAATGATCGGCGGAGTATATTGATTAAAAGCAAATCATCATAATTAAATAATCAGAATTAAATTATTTTTAGAATCTATTGATAAAAATATAATGTTCAGAACCTACCTATACATAAAGATTGGAATATAATGATTAGAAGAATCCATAGATTAGAATATAATGATTAAAATTAATTATAGCTTAATGATTAGACTTTAATGATTAGACTATAAAAATTAGAATCTAATAATTACAATTTAGTGATTAAAACCTACCTAATGACTAGAATACATTGAATAAATTCCAATAAATTGAATCTAATGTTTTGTAATAATGATTAAAATATAATGATAAAAATATTAGAACAAGATGATCAAAATCTTATTATTAGAATATGATGATTAGAATATGATGATTAGAATCTTATGATGATTAAAATATGATGATTAGAATATGATGATTAGAATATGATAATTAGAATATGAGGATTAGAATATGATAATTAGAATATGATGATTAATTAGAATATGATTAGAATATGATGATTAAAACAAGATGATTAGAATCTTATGATAATTAGAAAATGATCATAGATTAAAATGTTGATTAACTCTTGCAATATCTTTGGTTTACCTGCAATCAATTGTTTATTTATTTAAAGTTTTTCATCTCAGTTGACGACTTTCGCAATAAACAAAAAAATAAAAACAAACCATGGTTATTTTATTGTTTAGTTTTAGGATTAAATAATTGAAATTAAATCGCTAGAATTAAAATTAAATTGAACTAAATGAATATTCTTATTTGTCCGTAAATGTTTGTTAATATTTGTATTTTTGTTGAATTTTTGTCTTGTTCTTTTTTTCACAAATTCGCAAATATTTCTCTTCAATTTTATTTTTTTATGGCAATAATTTGTTTGTTTTCCATTGCAGTAATTGTGATGATGGCTTGTTGATTTGATAATAAAATTGGATTATTATTGATATATTATTATTAATAATTTAATAATTAAAAAGGTAATTGAAAATTGTTAAATTAATTAGATTATTCATTATTATTATTTAATTAATTTAGTTAATATTTGATTAGTTATTAATTGATCATTTAGTTTAGAGTTATTATAATTGTAATAATTAAAATATAAAATTAACAAGAAAGGACCTATTTGATAGGTTATTATTTCAAAAAATTGATTCAATTAATAATTAATATTAATTAATTTAATGTTTTTATTTTTTAATTAATAGTTGATTGGTTGAGAAGATTATTAGAGTTATTACTAAAGAAAGCTATTAAATAAAATTTATGGAGAAAGTTAATAATAATAAAGAAGTTGGCTTCTTAGATTTTAGTTTAGCTGCTAGCTAAATATTAGTTGTTTTTCAGCAGTTAAGTTACTTAATTTTATTTTAAATAATTTATTCATTTTAGCTGTAGTTTTTTTGCAGCCAAAATGCTAAACTAAATTTCTAATTTTAGTGGTTTAATAAAATAACACTTGTCAATTTACCATATAGTATTATTATTATATTTATTATACATACATACAGTATAGTGTGCAATACAATATAATTTAATATAATTCAATATATATATATATATATATATATATATATATATATATATTTATATGTTGGTATATATATATACCACCAGTGCATGATGTATAAATAAATTATTTCAAGATTCAATCCAGTATTTTTTAAATATCATTGAATCCCTTGAACACCTGCTTCTGTTTGTTTATTCAGTTATTCAGCCAGTCATCCCTGATTCAACTTCAAATCTCAGCAAACATTAAAATATGTTTGATGAAATATGAAATAGGTCCGCAGAGAGAAATGATGTGAATTAACTTTCATCAAAGACCCAAGTTAGAGCCACCAAAGTTATTATGTATTTTATTGGTGAATGAAATTATAAAGTATTAATTTATGTTTTATTACTACTTTTTGTGTGTGATTTTGTTTTAAAATTTATTGAAAATTTTTAAACAAATAGTTTTACTGCCAAAATATGGATATATATGTTCTCAATAATTACTAATTGTACTCAATAAGTTTGCTAATTAAATAAGTTTGATCTGAGAGTTTGTTGGTTGGTCAGTTACGTCTGTCTGTGTGTGTTGTGGCTAAACTGAGTTTTTGAATTGAGAAAAACACGATGCCTAAAAGATCAAAAGAAGATTGATTAATTAATGTCAGAGTGCAGTGGTTCGTGAAACTGATGTTGGTGAACATTGCAAATGATGACCTGCGTCGAACTTGATTGGGAGTGTGCCGGTCTGATGAACATTATTTTGGTTCTATCTGCTGTGTGTGGTGTAGAGAAATATCTATCAAACAATAAATGATATTGACTGAATAGAAATTAAGTGATTTTATAAAAGGTTTATAAGTTAGAATAAAATCTTTTTCTCTTGTTTATTTTATATATTAATCACTAAAATGCTTTAAAATTACTTTTCAGAATTCACAGATAACATAGAATTATGATTGGTTTGAAGCATTAATTAAAACCACCAGAGTAATTATTGTATTAAAAAAGTTAATGCATGCAAAGTTGTGAAATAAATTGATTTAATTTCTTCTTGACAAAACTTTAATGATAGCAATCCATTTATGACTGCTTGATTGTTATTTAATTCTTTAGGCTGTTGTCGTTTCTTTAAATTTGTCATGAATATCTCATTTGATCATTATTTGCCTAGTAACTCATTTGAACTCCATGGGTTATTTATAGGTTGCATTGTAAAAAAATAATAGCTAAGAATTATTGTTCTGTTCTTCAGAAGGAAACAAGCGAGATAGAATCGAAGCCAGAAACTCCTTCAAACACCAACAACAAAATTTCTCAAAAAATGTCAAGGAAATCAGCAGACGAGGGTTTGAGTAAAAGTGAAACAATGCATGAACCACACTATTATAACACCAACGCCAACAACAACAACAACAGCTTCACTAACAACAACAGCTTCACTAACAACAACAGCTTCACTAACAACAACAGCTATAGTAGCAACAACAATGCCACCAACAACACCAACACATCAGATAAAAGCTCTAGCTCGTTGAATTGCTGTGGTGATTTATATTTTCCCAAGAGATTTATCTTGCTGATGTTACTCTTCTTTGGCATGATCATCATCAACGCCCAGAGGGTCAACATAGGGGTCACTGTAGTTGCAATATTACACAAAACAGCTCCCACCAGAGTGTCTGATCCCAGATCTCTCGCCGCTGTATGTTTTTTCATTTTGTAAATGTGGATGTATGTTTTTAAGTTACTTTCTTAGTTAGTCTGTTCGTTTGATTGTTTGTTTATTTATTTTTAGTTTGTGTTTTGTTTGTCCATTCATTTGTTTGTTTGTCCATTTATCATTCGTTTGCTTATTTGTTCATTCATTTGTTTATCCTCATCACACCTCATTTGTATTCAGGTGTGTTTAATTTGAATTCTTCTGAAGATTTCGAAATTTAACTTTTTGCATCAGCATGAAATTATTAGTTTTGGTTGTGTAAAGTGAGGTGTTGGCAGCAATGAGGAATGGTGTTGGCAGCAGGTTGTGCCTGGATGCCCACAGAGAATAAATAGAGTTTCAGGGTCTGGCACCACAATGTTGTTAAGTTTTGTTCTTCTTTTTATCATAAAAAAGAAACAATCAAATGAGTTTATTCTGATGAAAATTACGAAGAAAAAATCTAAAAATTGGAACAGTTTTGACTTCAGCTCCAAAATTAAGGGATAGAGAGAGAGAGAGAGAGAGAGAGAGAGAGAGAGAGAGAGAGAGAGAGAGAGAGAGAGAAAGGAAGAGATGGAAAGAAAAAAATATGAAAAAGACAGAAAAAAATGAGAGTTTTACAACTTTAACACTGTTATTTATTCTTGCTGAAAGTTTGAAAATTAATTATTTAATAATAATAATAATAATAATAATAATAATGATGATGATGGTGAGATGAGGAGGAGGAAGATGACGTCTATGATGGTTGTGATGATGTTAATATATTTTATGATTACAATAGATGATAAGGATGGATGGTTGTGTTTATGATGGCTCAACAACTTTTGTTTACTTTTATTAATTGAATAATGATTCCCAGAACTTTCCATATGGAATTCCTCACGAAGTATTAAATTAGAATGAAATTGTGTGTTTAATTTTATGCATATATATCAACTTATTTCGTCATCACCGTCAATGTTACTAATATTGAAGTTTTAACTTCTTGATCAAGACACATTAACATCACTTTCCGATGAAATGTTTTTTGTCTAACATCAAGATATTCATATATCATTTTATGCAGTAAAAGTTATTTTGCGATTTTCCATTTTGTTCATTAATAAAATGAAATGAAGCTTGCTTACAATGAATTATGTCAGCAGTGCTCAAAATGTTTTTCTGTAACAGTCATTGCGTGCTGTTTTGTATCAGGCACTGCTACATTGTGCAGATTATAATGAATGCTGCCTATCAAAGTATTTACATGCCAAATCATGGGAGCCAATTTGTAAACTCATTTCAAATGTTTTAAATTATACAAAAACGAAAAGGCAAAGATATGCGTTGAATGGTCTCAGAATGTGTTGATTTAGGGGAACTCAGATGACTCAAATATTGAAAATGTTGGATGTATCGGCCGCCAATTTTTATTCTGTTGGAATGTTTCAATTATTATAAAGAATGTTGCATAGAGTAGGAATGTTCCTTCCAATCCAGCGAGTAACTTCGTTAGGTGTAAATGATTCTTGAATATCATAAGA